CGAGGTGGTTCACCCGGAGGCCCATACGTTGAAGCTATGACTTACGAAGTGCCTTCACTGTCACTTCTTCTGAGAGATCCATTCCTACACAAGTATTTTTTTTCGAATGATTGATGTACACCTATCATAGATTTTAAGGATCAAGTTTTGTCAAACAAAGTGATGATTCTGCTACTTAATAAATGAAAAGTGAGCCAACAAGTCAAAAGTGCGTGTACTCCCATTTGAGGACCATAATTTACCTTGTACTACTATAAAAATACTCCTCTAGACATCATTGTAAGGCTAATACATACAAAACTCAATACTAGAGTAAATACAAAGCAATTTACTCAATTTTACTCTCCTACAAATACAACTAAGTTTACATAATATTGATCCTCTACGATTAGTAATTATTGTACAATCGTTCTTTAAATGTATTATTGGATTTCGAACGTAGTCGTCCTACACTAATGAGCTGCTCCCACCCCTTTCTTAGACTGTCCTAGCCAATTGTTGTGTCTGAGCATGTAGGACTCGACTTACATGTGCGCAAGTGAGTCCGGTATTTGTTGTTCGCGTGACTTCAACCGAAAATGATGTCTACATGAGTTTTTCAAATTGAGTAGTTCAACTGCAGGCTGCAGCCAGAGTTTCAAGTATGGGTCTCCATTTCTTTCGGAATTAAATGGATTTGTTTATACTATTGCCTATTTGTCTTAACCACTTTACTTAGGTAAGTGTTTTTTATTGAGTATTTCAACTGTTGCGAGAGTTCCATGTCCATGTCTCCATTTCTTCCTTAATTCAATGGATTTGTATTTTTATTTATTGTTTTTAGGCAAAATCATTTGGAAAAAATCCCAATGAACGTGTGGCGAAAACAAAAAAATAAAAAATTAAAAATTAAAAATTAAAAAAATACAAAAACGAAATATTTGAAAGTAAATCTACTAGTGGATAAGTGTTTCCTTTAGCTGGCAGTGTCATATCTTGAAAATTTACAAAGCAAATCCACTTTGCAAGATCTATTGTAGAGACTGAGTTCGTAGCTATAAATAAAATAGGTGAAGAGACCGAATGGTTAAAATTTTTTCTTATGGATGTTTCTTTGTGATCTAAATCACATCTCGTTGTTTCTATCTATTGTGATAGTCAATAATTTATTTCAAGAGTTCAAAATTCATCCGACAATGAAACGTTTAGATATAATCGTATGAGGCACAATACTGTTTGTCAGCTATTTAATGATGAGGTCATAATTATTGACTATGTAAAGTCAAGTGACAATACTGCTGACCCATTAGTCAAATGATTAGCTAGAGAATTAGTTTAAAAAATAACGAGGGAGATGAGGCTGAAGTCTATTTGAAATTATTTCACTTGAAACGAAAATCCAACCTTGCAATTGGATATCCTACGGACGAGGTTAAATAGGACAACAAAGTTATTGAAGTAGTATGCGGGATTCCTACATTACATTTACTCCAAATCCTTGCTTATTATGTAGTAGTACCAATTGTATTGATTAGGGGATAAATTAATGCTTATAATGCTCTCTATAGCTGTTATTTAGTGGAGTGTGAAGCACATATTTGAGTGTGGAAATGGGGCCGCTTCATATGAGTATTGAGGCTAATTCTCTAGAACATTTGAAGAAATTGGGAAAGTTTTGTGGTCGAAACTATCACAATCGCGAGAACTCAATGATTGTCGTAGAAAACGTGTGTGTGTGTTATGTTGTCTCAATTTGTAACTATAATTGTAGAGTTCAAAATATAGTTCACTCTACAATTGGAATTTGATAGAAAATGTAAAGCCAAGATTCAAGTTGAAAGACATGTAAACTTGCATGATTTCTTCTGTATTCCACAATAATATTTATATTTATATTTTGTCAAAATTACTAGTTATTCTTCCCTATCA